CTACAAAAAAAAAAAAAAAGGAAACCGTAATTTACAAAACAGAATACCCCCCCGCATAACTTTAAAAAAAAAAAAAAAAAAAAAAAACATTAAATATCACTTTTTTTTGGGGTCATTGGTCTTGAAAAGTTTTCATGTAGGAAAGTTATCCATATTAAGTATAAATAAAAATATATTGAAGAGAAAATCGTATTCTCTTAATAAAAACTTTAATTTCCTATATTGTATGTAGTATTTTGTAAAAGATGCACAATAAGATAAAATCTAACTTAATTCCTAAATATAATTTTTGCTTTCATTCCACTAATTTTATGATGCACTTGAGTTGAGACTTATGAACTAAAAGATAGTATGATTAATTATTTGAAACTCAATTGCAATAAATTTATAATTCAAGTGGTTAAGAGCAATTATTTCTTCACTCGATGTCCTGTAATCGACCCCTCCCCAAAATCGATTATGTAAAGATAGTTTGAAAACCCGTTACCAATTTAAATGAAGTGAATTAGTCAAGGAAAGAATAAGCTGAAAGGAGTTGGGGCAGTGTGACATTATGTCAAACTTTCGCGGGAGTTCTAGTATTTACATAAAATTGAGGAAAAGCTAAGGCTTCAAAGCGGTAAAATAAGACAAAAAAGAAATGAAAGAAATTAAAAAAAAAATGGCGATCTTTGAAAGATGGAAAAAGTTGCAGAGAAGAAAAGGACGTATGGAAGAGATTGGGATGATCTGGACGTCACGCTTCTTCTACTCTCTCTCTCCAACCTCTTCAAGAAAATTAATAAAGTTAAAATATTTGCTCAAAATTCAAGGTGGGCCTGTTGATTTTCCAGTCTTAGAGAGAGAGAGAATTGATGGTATATAATACTATATTACGATCAAAAGGTCAAAGGGACTTGGTATTTATCCTCTTAAAGGTTCTCGGGTTAGGGTTTGTTGGGCTATTCCTTCAATTTTAGCTTCTGGGTTTGCTTAATTTGTGGAAATTCAGTGTCTTGAGTTCTGATTCTTCATCTACTTTGGTGGAGTTGGCCTTGGTTTTACTTCAAACTTGGCGGCTTGTTCATACAGTCTCTACTATTGGTAAGCTTTGGGTTAACTGGGCTATATTGTATTTCTGCTTGTGGGGTTTCTGAAGGTTCAATTTTCCCGTCAGTACGTGGCTTTAGATTGGGGCTTGGGTTCTATTTCTGTATATGTCTTTGTAAAGTTTTAATCTTTCTGGTAATTGGGTAGATAGGAGTTTGTGGTTTAGGAGCTTCTGAGTGTTGTGTTTTAGTTAATTTTTTGAAGGGGGTTGTTCAAGGGTCTCTTTGGCTTTGGGATCAGGTGGTTCTGGTGGTTTGTGGTGGTGGTGGTGGTGGTGATGATGATGTTGATCCATGGGCAGTAGAACAGTTAAAACTGGTGCAAATGACGGTAATAAAGTCGTGACTGAGATGCCGAGCTTTGTTCCTCCAGTACCCACTTCCAATCCCACGTCAGTAATCTCTTACACTGTAATTAATTTCCACTTATTTTTTCCATATTTATTTTAGTATTCTTATGTTTTAAGTTTTCATAGGCAGTACAGCTCCTTTGGTTTTGAGTGGTTTGTCTTTTCTAATGGTAATTCTGTCTGAATTAGTTTCCTTGGGCTTTGAGTTAGTTTAGCAGCCGTGCTCTGGCTCTGCCTCTCTGCTACTAGAACATGAATTTAAGTTTTAATGTAGTACAAAAGTTGGTAGCATCTGCCGCTGAAATTAGAATATCTTGCTTTATTTGCTAGTTGGTAGTATCCGGAAAGGAACAGAATTATACGGTTTAACAAGTGGAATGGAACCACAACCACGTTAGGTCTTTCTCCAAGTCTTCTAAAATGTAACCTGAACAGCGTATAACGTCAGTATCTGAAGTTAATCCATATTTTCTGCACCATTCACAGCTAAATAGAAAGCTATGTTACAAGTTATCTTTGGGAATTTATTGGATTGAAGCTTTAACCACCTCAAATTTGGTCAAATAGCGCACTGATTTTTTGGCATAATTGTATATGAATGGTCTAGATAATGATTTGAGGAAAGGTGGCTATAGCTGTGATTTTTCAGTATATGTAGGATTGAGTAGTTAAACATAAAATACAGCCAACAAAGAGGACTAAAGAAAGAGCAACTAGAAGCTATTGCTGTATTATGGAGAGGAGGAGTTGTTCCCAATGTCTGTCGAAAAAATGTCTCTCAAAAAAATGTCTCTGTTCAATTAAGCAAACCAAGTTATGGTATTTTTTAATATTACTGGAAATTTCCTTCTTGTCGTGGTGGATTATCTTTTATTTAGTATTAATTTTGGGACTGAAGTCTCATTTCCTTTAGTTTATTTTCTACAAGAGTATGATTAGTGATCCCAAAATCAGAAAACAGGGCATATGCTATTTAAGATGGCTCTCATGGCTTTTAATTTGTTAACAATTCAATACCGAAATGAAATGTCAAAATTATTGTTGATTTTCAGACAATACAAGTTTCTTTGTTTGTTTGCATTATGAAGAGGTTTCTCATGCTCACATTTGTCACTAAGTGGGCAGTTGGATTATGATTTGTGATGGCACCTTTTTGGCATTACCATTCTGGGTAACGACATGGATTTGATGGTTTGTTGATTGAATTGCATTTGTTCAATTTTGGTACTCATGGTTATAAGGATCTGTTAATCATTCAATCCTGATATGAAATGTCAAAATTATAGTATATTTTCAGACTTTACAAGTTCCTTCATCTGGATGCATTATGATTGAAGATGGTTTTGTAACATTCTCACATTTGTCTCTCAGTGGATAGTTGAATTACAATTTGCAAGTATGCCTTTTGTGTCTTACCATTCTGGCTAATGAACATAGCTTTAATGGTTTGTTTGTTGAATTGCATCTGTCAATTTTGGTAGTTTTGGTTCTTACTGTATGTGCTTTCAGTGGTACAGAGGGGAGCACCATTCGTTCATCTCGAATTTCAGACTTTGGAACTCTAGAGCAAACTCTTGGTTTTCGCATAGAGGATGCTGTTGACATTGGGAGAAGTATGTAACTAATATCTTGGTGTTTATCAGAAGTAGATTGGAATACTAGCAATTTTTTTTTTTTTTTTGTGTGTGGATGTTTCTTCAAGTTACTGATTTCATAAATATTTTCTGACGTTTTCCCTGATTCTAAGATTCATTTGCCCTATCTTGAGTAGAATGATTGTTCATTTTGTACCGTATCTTTTAATTTTTCCACAGCTAACCTTTATATTGTCTTTTACTGTCCATAGTAAATAAGGTTATTAATATGTTCTAGTCAACATCTACATTCTCATTAGGACGGCCAATTAACCGAGTTATGCTGCTACTTCATGCTTGAAAATTACTGTTCTATTCGAAATTCTAATCATCATTGGCTTTCTGAAGTGTGACTTTAGAGGCATATCTAACTTCTGGCGTTGGAGTATGATACAGAAATATGATTCTAATTGTGTTTATGTTTAAATTTTTTTGTGTGAAATGAGAGAGAGAGAGAGAGAGAGAGCTTCAGTTGAGAGATCCCTCAAATAAGCTTATTTGAGAGACCCTTGTAGGGCTCACTCTGTTTTGTATTTCACTGATCCAAACTGTTCATTCAATGATTATCTCTACAAAAAATGACTTGAATCTGATATCATTTGACCACTAAATTGAATTATTGAAATTTTAGTACGTTCTTGAAGCACTGTGTTCATTGATTTTGTAGGACACAATTAGATGTCGAAACGGTTTCTGATTTGTCTAATTTTTTGCGAGGATGATCTATTTATGTAGACTTAAAAAATAGATGGTTTGGATCATTGAAAAAAAATTCGTAGGGGACCCTAAAGGGTGTCCCTCGATAGAAGAGGATTGTATATATATATATATATATATATGTGTGTGTGTGTGCAAAAAAGTTTCTGATCATATTTCACTCTTGTTGTATTATGGTATTTACTTGCTTCTGACTCCTTTTTCTCATTTGATTACTTTGGATTTCTTAGGTCCTGTATTTAATCAAAATAAATTAAGTAGCCAGGCACTGGGGAGTAGTGATGCCCAATTTGGCTCTTTAAATAAGGTAATTGTTTATCACCCCCTCCTAAAGTAAACAAAACAAAAATAAAATAAAATGATTGCGAGACCAATAAGGTTGAACGCATCGTGGAATCCAGTTCCTTGCATCTTTAGATATAAACTTATCTGTTTGTATTGTGGGATCTCAGCTGTTGCCACTGCAAAAAGAGGCACAACAAAATTTGCCTTCTGTATCTCGTAGCAATCACGAGAACTGGGGGGAGTCCAGTATGGCAGATGGAAGCCCTAGGACTGATACTTCAACAGATGACACAGAAGATAAAAATCAGAGGGTAACATCTCTTGGTTCCAGTTTTCAGTATCCGCTGCTTATAAATTCTGGTTCATCTCATCTTTATTCATGTAGTTTTCCTCTAAGAGTGCCTACTTCTTTAGTCACTTTTGTATGCAAGATTCAAAGTGACATATCCCTTATTTTTTCCATACGGAAATTATTGTGCATGTGAGAGAACATTGTGATTTTCAGCTGTTATTTGGTGGTGAATGTAATTTTTTTGTTTTTGTGCAGACTGAACTGAATCAAATGACTGGTCTTCTAGTTTCTGATTCGAGTGACAGGTCAAAAGATAAACCTGGTGATCAAAAGGTTTGACAATTTCAACTGAATATATTATTAAAGTGTTGTCTTGCATGATTATCAACTTACCCTAGTTTGAATCAATGTTTTACAGACATTGCGAAGACTTGCTCAAAATCGTGAAGCCGCCAGGAAAAGCAGATTAAGAAAAAAAGTAGGTCACCATATGTTATGAATTTATTATCTGTTACTCTTTTACGTTGTTGTCATTATTATTAGACTAACTGTGTTTGTAAGTTCAGTGCGCTTATGTGTTAAGTGCAATCTTTCTCTATCTCATTATAAGTCATAGCTACTGTTCTTTGTGGGGAAGTGTCATTATATTCATGTATGCCTTTACATTATTTCCATCGGGTTCTTCTATTCAGGCATATGTACAACAGCTTGAGAGTAGCCGGCTGAAATTAACCCAGCTTGAGCAAGAGCTTCAGCGTGCCCGCCAGCAGGTTGGTTTTCTATATACATTTTTCATTTGGCCGGGCATGGATGTTTTGTATCATACTAATGTTTTACATGTTGCAGGGAATATTCATTTCAAGCTCTGGAGATCAATCTCATTCGATGAGTGGAAATGGTATTTGAACTTATTAATCTCATCTGCTGATTCTTACTTTTTCCTGGACTTAATAACCACAGTTGTGTATATTTTTGTAGCCTGCCTTGAAATGCATATATATGTTTAAGAAGTTTATTTATTTATTTTTTAATAGAAACTTTATAAAATCAAAGAGATAAACAAAGAAACAAGCAAGTGGATAAGGAATGCACAAGAGCAAAACAGAAGTAAACAGCAACCTCAAGACCAAAACAAACAAAGGAAAAGAGGACAAAAGCAAACAAAAAGGCCACCCAGGAAAAAGGAAGAGAGCAACACATCACTTCACAACCCCTAACAAATCTCGCATAATAGAAGAGACAGCCAAATGCTTAAAAACAGGAGTAACCGAAGCCCATAAGTTCCAAAACACTGCATGCACCAAGCAACCCCACAGAACTTTAGCTTTCTTCCCCCTACCCAGCTTATCAATCTTGTAGGATAACAGCTGAAAGCAGCCTTTAGGAA